GGGGGGGGATGTGGGGAAGGGAGAAGGATTATTCAAAGGATACAAAATTTCAGTTAGACAGGAGAAATAAGTTCAAGAGATCTAATGTACAACATGATGACAACAGTTAATAACAATGTATTATATACTCAAAAATACTAAGGGAATAGATTTTAAGTGGTACAACAACAACAACAAAAAACGATAAGTATTTGAGGTAATGCATATGATAATTAGCTTGATGTAGCCATTTCACAATGTACACATATTTCAAAATATCATGTTGTACACCACGAACATATACAACTTTTATTTGACAGTTAAAACAATTAATTAGAAGAAAAGAAATGAGCCATCAGGCCACAAAAAGACACAGAGGAACTTTAAATGCACATTGCTAAGAGAAAGAAGACAATCTGAAAAGGCTACATACTGTATGATTCAAACTATATTGACATTTTGAAAAAAGCAAAATTATGGAGACTGTAAAAAGACTTGTGGTTGCCAGGGTTTTGGGAGGGAGGGCTGAATAGGCTGAGTACAGAGGACTTTTAGGGCAGGGAAACTATTCTGTACAGAACTACAATAGTTGGTATGTGTCATCTTACATTTTTCAACAACCATAGAAAGTACAACACAAAGAGTGAACTCTAATGTAAACTATGGGCTTTCCTTGATAAACTAAGGTTGGCAATGATGTGTTGATGGTGATGGTGATGGTGATGGTGATGGTGGGGGAGGGTGTGCGTGTCGAGGGAGAGGGGGATGTGGGACCTCTATACTTGTGTACTTGCAGCTCAGTTTTATCATGAACCTAAAATAGCTCTAAAAAATACAAAGTCTATTCATGAAAAAAAATTAAAATGCCAAATATAGGCATTTTCAGACACACAAAAGCTGAAGTAATTCATCGTTAGCAATCCCACACTACAGGAAATGTTAAAAGGAAGTCCTTTAGGGAAAAGGAAAACTATACCATTTGGAAATCTGGACCTAAACAGGAATGAAGAGCATTGGAAATGGTAACTATACAGGTAAATATAAGATGTTTTTTCTTATTATTTAAAATAATTTTTAAAAAATTAAAAATAAAATAAAATAAAATATTTAAAGGGATAGTTTGAGAGTTTAAATAATAGCATAAAGGCTGAGAGGGGAGAAATGGAAGTTTATTATCCTAAAGCTTTTATACTAACCATGAAGTGGTATGACACATTGAAAGTAGACTGTGATAAGTAAAAGGTGTACACCATAACTCTAAAGCAACCACAAACATAACAAAAAGTTACAGATAATACACCAAAGGAGATAAAATGGAACTGTAAAAAAAAAAAACTTGATTAATGAAAAAGAAGGCAGAAAAAAAGGAAAAAAGAGCAAGAACAGACAAGACAAACAGAAAACAAATGGCAAAATGATGGACTCAAACTTAACCATGTCCATGATCATAATGAATGTAATTGGTCTAAACACCCAGATTAAAAGGCAGAATTTTTTTTTTTTTAAATTAAAAAAAAGCACAAGGGGCCGGCCTGTGGCTCACTTGGGAGAGCGTGGTGCTGACACCACCAAGTCAAGGGTTAAGATCCCCTTACTGATCATCTTTAAAAAAAAAAAAAGCACAAGACTACACCATATGTTGCCTATGAGGAACTCACTTTAAATACAAAAACACAGAGAAGTTAAAAGTAAAAGGATGGAAGGAATTTGACCACGCCAACACTAGCCATAAAAAGTTGAAGTGGCTATATTAAATTTCAGAGTAAATAATATTACTACAAATAAAGATCATCTTATAATGAAAAAGGGGACATGACAGAGGACATTGAGGATATAACAATCCTAAATGTTTAAGTACCTATTAACAGCTTTCAAATACATGAAATAAAATCAACAGAATTATAAAAAGACAAATCTACAATTATACGATCATGGATGTCAATGCCCCCTCTCAATAACTGATAGAACAAGCAGGCAGAAAATCAGCAAGGAAACAGTGGACTTGAACAACACTATCGACCAACTTGGCTTGATTAACTCTATCCAACAGCAGCAGAATATGCATTCTTCTCATGTGTACACAAAATAGACCAAGGTAGACCATAAACTAGGCCATAGATAAGTCTCAATAAATTTTAAAGAGTTCAAGTTAGACATTGTATGTTCTCTGACCACAAAGGCATTAGAAATTACTAACAGAAATCACTTGTCAGAAAAGTCCAAATATTTGGAAACTAAATTAAGCACCTCTAAAATAACGCATGGATAAAAGAAGATAGCAACTCTAGTTTTTAAAATATCATTTTCTGTATATTAGGTCTCTTACAGGAAAGTCAATTTCTTAATCTAGCAGTCAATTAAAGGAACACTGACCTGGAGCAGATGGCATATCTTTTGGCCACAATTCATAGGCAGTTTATGGATTTTTCAAGAATAATAATAGTAAGTGATAAGTCACTTCACCTATGCGCCAAGCATTTTCTTATGTGCTTAATACATGTTTCATCGTCACAATAGGAATTATTATTCCCACTTTACAGGTAAAAAAAAATTTAGTCACAGAGAGGTTAAATAAATTGCCAAAGCCCCAAAGTCTAGTAAATGGCAGAACCAGGATTTGAACCCAGGCAGTCTGGTATCTCCAGGATTGATACTCTAGTATTGCATTATTTTTGCCTCTTTTGACTATCTAATTTTTATTTCAAGCTCTAATTTTAGAACATGGTCCTCACTAAAGAGGTCCTCTACCATCACTGAAAAACACCCTGAATGCATCTTTGAACATAAAAAAGAGTGCTCTGTTAAATCTTCTCTTTGTTAGCTAGATGAGGTAAACTAAAATTCACTTACTGCTTCTCTCCGCCTCCGCTCTTGCTCTTTCTCCCTTGCTAAATTGCGGTTTTTCAGAAGCCAAGGTTTGCTTTTATCTTGAGCTTCCAATGACTGCTGATGTTCTTTCTGCTCTTCTCCATGGCACTTATTTTGTATTTTACTTGAAAAAGATTCTAGAGTCAATCCATTTCCAAGGTCCCTTAAAGAACAATATAGCTCAAAGTAAGTTTCGAATTCCTTAAAAGTTTTTATTACAAAGATATGTTATTAAATAAAAAATATGAAGCAAAGTACTAGATATCCATTTATGATAATATTATGACATTATTTTTAAGCTTTATTTTTAATGGGTCAAATTTTACACAGTGTAATTTATGTTTTTTTTTTTTTTGTCTTTTTGTCTTTTTTTTGTCTTTTTCCGTGTCCGGCAACGGATCGCAACCCTCAGTGTTGCCAGTTTCGAATTCCTTAAAAGTTTTTATTACAAAGATATGTTATTAAATAACAAATATGAAGCAAAGTACTAGATATCCATTTATGATAATATTATGACATTATTTTTAAGCTTTATTTTTAATGGGTCAAATTTTACACAGTGTAATTTATGTTAACAAAGAAAAGGTTTTGAAAAACTGACCAAGGTGCAGTAGTATCTTCTTACATATAGAACGGAAAGACTATAAGACATTTCTAGAAAATAACGTCTTCTTAATTTAGTAATATTAGAATCTTTACTAGCTTAATCACTTGATAACTCCTATCTTCTTTAGATACTACTACTTAGAAAAAATATCAGTAAAACTGTACTTTTTGCAGTTACAATTTACTTTGTGTTCTACTAAATTGCTGAATCATAGTCACTAGACAAATAAGAAAATTAATGTATTTAAAATGCATTTCTATGCCTCCCAAGGCTTCCTTTAATTCAGTAAATTACAGACCTCTGATTTTCTTGAGATACTTTTGGTTCCTTAGTATTCTGTACCAGATGTTTCTGTATTAGTTCCTGTGTTCGGGCTTTTACTTCCTTTTCTATTGCTGCTTTTCTAAATTGGTTGAAGAGCTCATCTGATGATTTCAGTACACCTGCTGTTTTCACTGGTTTGCCTAAACTTCTCCAAGAGTCTGCATTCTTTATCTTTATATCCTAAAACAAATACTTGATTCAGTCTAGGTTTACAGATGTCAACCAAATTTTAGAGGTAAGACAATAGTTTTTGATACAGTAATAGATCCAATTAAGATTGCAAAGGCCTTCATGTACTTTTAGTAAATTTAAGTTACAGGTTACAAAAGTCAGAAAAAATATGAAAATACTGTAACAGAACATCTAAATTCAATTATTTATCTAAAACCAAATTAAAATACCATGCTCAACAATTATTTTAATTTAACCTAAGTCATAATTTGCAAGGAGTATAAAAATAAATCACTCACTGCATTCAAGATAATTACAATTATATAAGGAAAATAAAGCAAATACACAAATGATTAAGAAGAGCAAAGTAGATTATGCCATAAGAATGGCATAGGATTTGTTGAGAACTCTCTGGCATAGTCATGTCTTTCCTTTTTATGGTATAAAGAAAAAAATTAACTGATGTGACCTCTGTTCTTAAACAAGACGCCATGGTCAAGATCTGTGCTGTCCAAAAGAAATATATATATATAATTTACAATTTTCTAGTAGCCACATAAGAAAAAAATTTTTTAAAAGTAATTTTAAGGGGCCGGCCCGGTGGCGCACAGCTACGGTGCGCCGCTTGGGAAGCGCGGCGGCGCTCCCGCCGAGGGGTCGGATCCCCCATACAGACCGGTTCCC